TTTTGCTACATATCGGATTATTTAAGTTTCTTACTGAAAAATTAATTATATGTATCATAAAATATCCCTGAAGGTCCATAAGTAATTTATTGATAGAGTGAAGTGTCCAAGAGGGTAGGTGCAGAGTGAAAAGTGGGATTGTAATAAATAGGAAGAACATGCTGCAATAATTAGTGCTTGTAAATAATAAATGCCTGCAGCTTGACGCTCTTCTCTTAAATCACCTATCTCTTTTATCTTCTTATTTATGATTTGCCCAACGCTCCTATTAAGAACTCTAACTAATTTTTCTTTTTGTCCAACGGTCCTATTTACTCTCTCAGCTAACTTTCTTTTTGCCCAACGCTCCTATTTACTCTCTCAACTAACATTTTTCTTTGCCACGGCCAACGCTTTTATTTACTCTCTAACTAACTTTTCTTTCTTCGCTTCTCTTTATAAATAGAAACCAAATAAAATCTTTAAGGAAAAGTCTTTCACATATACATCAGATCAATATGTGTACCAGTCGTATCCACTAAATTAATACATAATAAATGTTTTGAAAATGAAACTTATGATATTACCAAGAGGGTTTTGCTATAGGGCTTTCAGGTATTCTGTAGAAGCACGCTTAAATTAATTGTGCGTATATATTGAAGACTTTTCCCTCCAATATTAAGGATGGTAGCTAGAATCTAATATGGTGATGCCTCAAGTATGATCTAATTAACTGATTTTTCTTGAAAACTCTCGCTTCTTGTTTGTACAGTACAGACGTATCATAAATTGAGTTTATGAATATTCCTAATTTGTTAGATTTGTCTGAACTATATATTATAACCTTATACAAATACAACTAGTTCAGTTTAAAGCATTTATTTTAGAGCGATTAATCTGGTAATCGATCTATAATTTAATGATCACAGGTTCCTGTCTGGAACAGCATTTTTTTTTTCCTAAATTAAGAGTTTGAAAACTTGAAATATTTATAGGAGAAATTTGCATGTAAAATTGTGATGGAATCTCAGTTTCTGTAATTAATAAAAGGATATTTTTATCAGGACCTTCACGAATGCCTTTCTTTAAGGTTAAATTCAGATAATTGTAGTGGAAATTCAGGAGAAACCATTCATGAAATGGTCAAAACAGAGTAAATTGCAGAGTCATCAAATTTGGAATATATATGGAAAGTGTAAAGATCAGAATTATTGAGTGTTATTGAATTATTATAATTATAATTTTCCATTTTGTGAATTCGATTATTGTATGTGGATTGTAATTTATACTGGGTTTGGAAAAGTTTTAATGGACTCAAATCTTCAACAATCCATAACCATAACATTGATAGACCTTGCCCAGCTAAATTGAACTTGGGTCTTCTCATTTCAAGATTTCTGTAAGCTTATCGGCTTACCCTTCCCGGTAAGGAAGAAGAATTAGCATATGATGACACACACATCACGAGGAATCATTAATTTCCTCACCATTTGTCACATTTAGTTTCTCGACTTAGTACGTACTTTAATTTTGTAACAAATTAACTATTAATTATTACTTTTTTATGTTATTGGGGTAATATTGGTGCTTACAACATACCTTTGTTAATTGTGAACATTATTTTATTTGGGTAATTTTAGGTTATTTATCAAAGTAACAGTGATACTGTCAATTTTTTATTTATTTTTTTAAAAAGAAAAAAGAAAAGAAAAGCTATCTTTTTGGACTGGAGTGCTCACATAGAAGAAGACTTATAAAGTGAGTCGTTCATGCATACTCTGTTAATCACTGAAACCTTGTGTTTTCTTTATCATTTCTCTTGTTGATTTTCTTTTAAAACACCATGGAGTTGCTTCTTCAGTTGTTGGGAGCATTACCGAAGCTGCTTGTTCGGCGCAGCAGGCCGTCACCTCGGTTACTTGTTTCACTACAACGACAACATTGGACGTTGGAAAACCAAGCTAAGAAACTTGCAGGTATCAGAGAGAGGGTACAGGAATATTGATGCTGCTGCAAGGATCTTGAAATTATTGAAACTGATGTGCAGAACTGGATGACCGAAGTTGATAAAATCTCTGCAGAAGCTGCAAAGTTTTTGGAAGATGAAGTCAATGCAAACAAGAGGTGTCTCAACGGGTGGTGTATTAATCCCAGATCCCGTTACAGATTCGTAAGGAGGCGAAAGACAAGAATGTTGCGATTTCTCAGCTCCTAGAAGATTGGAAAGTTGAGAAGAAGGTATCTCGTCCTGCTCCTCCTCAGGAATTATTTATCCGTCTGAGGTATTTTCTGGAACTTTCGAATCCAGAAAATCAATTATGAAGCAAATCTTGGAGGCCTTGGGAGATGACAACGTCAGTATCGTTGGAGTGTGTGGAATGGGCGGTGTGGGTAAGACCACGTTAGTGACAGAAATCGTCAAACAGGCAGGTGAAGATAAGCGATATGGTGTTGTAGTGATGACAACTGTGTCTCAAACCGTAAATATTATGAATATTCAGGGGAAATTGCTCGATGTGGGTTTCGAAAATTTCGGATCATCTGAATCAGCAAGAGCAAGTTTCCTTGGGAAAGAATCAAGAAGGAAGAAAAGATGCTTGTAATATTAGACGATGTTTGGAGAAGAATTGAGCTGATGAGATTGGAATTCTTTTGGAATGACCATGAGGTTGCAAGATTGTGCTCACCTCTCGAAGCAGAGATGTATGCGACGAAATGGATGCTCACCGATATTTACGGTTGCAACGTTATCAAAGAAGAATCTTGGGTCCTTTTAAGGAGAAAGCTGGAGCATGTGTTGACAACAGTGATTTAAACCCAATTGCAGGAGAGATAGCCGCTGATGTGGTGGTTTGCCGATTGCAGTTGTTACCATAGCAAGAGCTTTGAAGAATAAAAACAAGCATGTCTGGACTGACGTGGCACGACAACTCAAAACGTCTACCCAACAGACATCCCAGGGTTGCAAGGAAGTGTGATTTCCTCTTTGGAGTTGAGCATCAATATTATAGAGGTGACGATGCGAAATCATTGTTCTTCTTTTGTAGCTTATTTCCGAGGATTTCAGAATCTCAATTACAGTTTTAGTGGGGTATGGAGCGGTTAGGGTGGTTCAAAAATGTTGAGACAATGGAGGATGTTAGCACAGAGCACATGCTCTTGTAAGTACCCTTGCCTCTTCTTTTTCTTGATTCAGGAAAAATGACTATAATGGTGAAGAATATGTTAAAATGCATGATGTTGTACGTGATGTTGCACTATAATAGCACCTAAGTACAACCAAATATTCTTGGGAAAGCTGGCATTGTTTTAGAAGAGTGGCCTGAAAGAGATACATTTGAAAATCTCACATGTATCTCATTGATGTCAAATAATATTAAAGCTGTACCTAATGGGATTGAATGCCAAAGTTGCAATCTTTACTATTGCAAAAGAATCGTGAATTGGTTCTCCCTAACAATTTCTTTCAAGGCATGAAAGATCTTAGAGTTCTAGACTTGAGTGAAACTCAACTATTGCCACTGCCCGAGTCACTTTCTTTGCTTGCAATCTAAAACATTGTATCTTAATGGTTGCAGTGGGTGACTTATCTTCATTGGGCATCTAAGGAACCTAGAAATTCTTAGTCTTTGTGGTCTAATATTAGGGAGATACCTATCTCTTTTAGCCAATATATTCATTTGAGGCTATTAGATTTGAATCTCTGTCTAAAGCTAAAGCAATAGCACATGGTGTTATATCAGCTCTTTGTAAGTTAGAGGAGCTGTACATTTTCAAGTTTGTGCTTGGGATTTTGAAGGAGATGAGGGGATGGGAGAGGCAATGCCAAGTTTGCTGAGTACAATACTTGTCTAGACTAACTAGGTTGGAAATTTTTATCCAAACCAGGGTCTTTTACCGATAATAACATGCTGTTCAAAAAGTTATCGAACTTTGCAATAATAATAGGTGATCCAAAAGTTTTGCATGTGGAACACTTTTTTAAGATTATGAAAAAATACTCAAGGAAAATTATGATCTCAGGTGGTAAGGTTATGATTCACGATTGCTTGATTGCCTTAAGAACTTGATAATTGAAAAAACTGAGTTTCTATATATCATCGTTTGGAAAATATGTTTCGTGAACTATGGACAGAGGTCTAAATGAGTTGAAAGGTTTAAGATATGTGATCAGAATGTAATGTATCTCCTAATACATTGGAAGGGGCACATCGAATTTAACATTCAAAAACTTAGAGGAACTACAAATCGGGACCTTGCCAACTTGATTGAATATGGAAGAGTGACACTCAATACATAGACCTCTGCAACTGAATAGAATAAGTGTGCGAAGATGTCCAAAGTTAATTAAACTATTTTCTCCGTGTTATTGCGAAGTCTTATTAGTTTGGAAGAAATAAGATAACTGATTGCAAGAATTAGAGGAGATCTTCATTTTCGGGATGAAAGAAGAAGAGGATATGATGAAAAGGGTATAGTACCATGGAGGAAAGATCACACCACAACCTCCCCAAGTTTGGGAAACTTGACTCTATAAAATAAGGGTCGCTCTCTAATTGAAAAACCTTTTACCCGTCCATAGTCAAAAGACTGGTGAAGCTTAGAGCTCGCATAGTGGGATGCTCAAACACTTCATCGAACTTAACATTCAAAAACTTAGAGGAACTAAAAATCTGGAACCTTGCCAACTTGATTGAAATATGTCATGGTGAACACTCAACCCAGTCCTTCAATAAGCTAAAATCTTTAGATGTGGTTAAGTGCAACAGGTTGGCACACATTGTTCCAAGTCATTTGTTACAGAGGTTTCAAAATCTGGAAAATTTTGCAATAGATAATTGTAAATCAGTGGTATATATATTCAATTGTGAAGAGCTTAAGGTTGCAAATGGAGAAACAAAGCTGCTCTCATCATTAAAGAATCTACAATTGGAAAAACTGCCAGAGATGACGAAAATATGGAAGGGTGACACTCAATACATAAACCTCTGTAACTTGAAAAGAATAAGTATGAAAAGATGCCCAAAGTTAATTAAACTATTTTCTCCAGTGTTATTGCGAAGTCTTATTAGTTTGGAAGAAATAGAGATAATTGATTGCAAGAATTTAGAGGAGATCTTCATCTTCGGGATGAAAGAAGAAGAGGAATATGATGAAATGGGTATAGTACCATGGAGGAAAGATCACACCACAACCTCCCCAAGTTTGGGAAACTTGACTTCTATAAAATTAAGAGGTAGCTCTAAATTGAAAAACCTTTTTACCCCGTCCATAGTCAAAAGACTGGTGAAGCTTAGAAGCCTTTGGATAGTTGGATGCTCAACACTACATGAAATAATCACAAATGAGGAAGCATCAGCAATACAGAGGATTGTATTTCCTAGTTTGTCGTCTTTGCGCCTTCGACGTCTAGATAACATTGCTTGTTTTAGCTCAGGCTCATATTCTATTGAATTCCCAGCTTTGGAGTCTCTTTGGATTCGTGAATGTCCAAATATGAAGATCTTTGGTAATGGAGAACAACTGACACCAAAACTCAACAAAGTTATTATTGATTATCTTGGTAAAGAAGAAAGATGGATGGGTAACCTTCACTCCACGTTGCAACAATTGTTCATAGAACAGGTATGTGAATTGATTAGTTATACATAATAAACAGTTGTACATATTTTTACTATTTTAAAGAAAATGAAATATTAAATGCAAAATATATTATTTTTTCTTTTATTAGTGGATGATTGATGCATAATTTGGAAAATTTCAGGGGAAAACAGGCATCGATAAGAAAATATGTTTTTGAGCATTGATCAGAAAATATGTTTTTAGGCTATGTAAATATGAGTTGCTATTCAAAACTTGAAATTGTGTTTTAATGTTTGAAAATGATTTGGTATCATAATATATAAATTATGTTTAGTTGCACAAATACTTAATAAGTTTAATCAGATACATAAGTTATCTAAAAATCTGATTTGTTTTGCAGGAGGGAAGACGGAAACAATTAGTCAACAACGTAAATGGTATGAATCATGTTTGAGTTGATTTTTCATTAAAAAAAAAAAAAAAAAAGGAAAATATTTGGGTAAATGTCTCTTTTTGTTTTAAAAAAATTAATTGTTTGTGCTTATTATATTTTTTTTGAATCACAAGAAGACAGAGGTGGTGGTGGTGATGATGATAATGATGATGACAACGACGATGATGAAGAAGACGAGGTAGCTAGTTAATATTTTTTTTTTCAAAATATTTTTTTTTTCTTTTATCAATGGATGATTGATGCATAATTTGTAAAACAGAGCATTGATCAGAAAAATTGTTTTTAAAACTAATTGCCATTTAAAACTTCAAATTGTGTATTAATGTTTGAGAATGATTTTGTATCATAATATGTACTATCATCTTAAATTATCTTTAGCTGCATAAATACTTAATCTTACATAAAATTTCATAGTAATTTGAGTTGATGTTTCAATAACCAAGTTACAGTTTTACATTGAAATTTCACTTTCAAAAAATTTATTTACTTATAGTTGTAATTGCATCTTCGAATTTTTCTTCCTTTTGAAATCTAAATTAACATTAGGCAGAATTCTTAAAACAATACTTCTATTTTGTCTCATAATATAAAATAAAAAAGAACTTATAATAATATTAGGTAAATGTCTCTTTTTGTTTTTAAAAATTAATTGTTTGTACTTATTATTTTATTTGAATCACAAGAAGACAGTATTGTATGATGAAGAAGCAACAGAAGAAGAAGGAGAAGAAGAGGTAGGTAATTAATGATGGTTTAAATTAAAGAATAAGAAGCAAGAAGCAGAGAAGCCAGAAGGACTACCTGAAAATACTTCAACTGAGACTTGATTCTAGAATACCTACTGGTATGAATCATGTTTACAAACTGCAATATTTATCCAAATTTTGTATGATTAAAATGAAAATATTTCTTATTATTGCCAACTGGATTTTGTTAATATTGTTTTGTAGAGGAAGGCTAACACTGAGAAAGTATAAAGAGCAAAGTACAAAAGGAGATGATGTTTAATTTCTCCATTTGGGGATGTCTGTAAAACAACTCAATTCAATTGCAGATAAATAAAGAAAGTTTGATTGTTGTAAATAGTTATACTATTTGAACAATATTTGGATGTAAAATACTTATTTTTTCTTCGATTGTTTGATTCATGATCGTTTTATTAGGATCCTCACCATAATCACCACGTATATAGTTTGTTTAGATTCACGTGAGAAAATTGTAATGGAAGATTCATGGGAAGATAGAGCATGGAATGGTAGAACAAAGAGAACAAATCCACTGTTAGGAAAAAGCAGACAAGCTGAAGAGGAAGAGGGATTTTCTTAAAAGGTATATACCTTTTGGTATACCATTGGATTATTTAAGATTTTCATTGAAAATTTTATTATTTATGTCTCATCAATGTCATAAACAGGTGGGGAATTTCAATCCAAAGAGGTGGCAGGTCGACCATCAGTCAGCATAGGAGCTCAGATAGTTATAGGCGAATTTGGGTACCAAAATCCCCTCAGACTAAGGCCTATTTAATTTATATGAATATGGATGGTGCAGGGGCGACAATTACTAGAAAAGAAAATGATGAATGGAAAGGACCCCAAATTGGATCATTTTTATTACATTCAGAAGAAAGTTGAATGCTTGACGTATGCAGGCAGCTTATGCATTTCTCCTATCCCAGAACAAAGACCTGCCATGTCTAAGGTTATTTTCTGATCAGCCCTCAATACTTTTAATTGTTTCAATTACGTAAAATATTATTATTCATAATTTTCCCGTTCTATTTTCAATGAGTACTTTTGTTAAATATTGTTCAGGTTCGTCAAATATTGGAAGCACATATAGTTGGTGATCATTAATTTGGCTCACAATTATCAGAAAATTCAGAGGATGACAGAGCATGAAATGTTCAAAACCCTGAGAACAGGTACGAACACAAGCACCTTTTAAAGCATTTTTGTACAGTACTATTACTATAAATACATTGATTAATTGCGATGTTAATTTGTGGGTAACATATTAAATAATTTGTACAAATATATAGGTTATCAAAATCTGTAATGTATCAAACACAATTCTCCTTTGGAGAGTCATCTTTAACATGAGAAAAGAATCATAAAGGAGCAGAAAATGTAATCTAACATTATTATTATTTAATTGTTTATTATTATTTTAACTGCTTAAATTAGTGTTTAAAGCAGTGGAGGCACTGGAAGAAACCTCGAACAAAGAAGATGCTCCTGTCGTTTTTCTCGACTGCGCCTCTCGAGCAACAAGAGGAAAAAGGTAAGTTTCGTATAATTCCTTCTTCGTTGCTTATGTTATGGTAATGCGGAACTACGAGGCTGTAACGGTAGTGTTAACCGGATCCGAGGCCTGGGAAATTTTATTTTTTAAAAGATAAGTTACTGTACTGGAATAAGACAGTTTGGGACGGTGGCTTCCCCTACGTTGCTAGATGGTAAAGTTACAGGGAGAACATAATGCCAGGACTATGATTTTTTGTTCTTTATTACTATTTCAAAAAAAAAATAGAAGAAATTTGTGCAGTTAGCATCCTTTATGTGCAGATTTAGGATACAGTGGTAGCGTTACCGGATGAATTGTTTCATTTGTTGGTAGTTGTTGGACTTGTAATGAAAGTATTACTATGTGTTAAGAAATAAAATCTGATAATCTAAATGAAGGTACAGTTTCATTTCTTTGAACAAATAGTCTTATATCACTTTAAATTTGTAACATTTACGCGTAGGTTAAACATTTAACAATGTCAATCATGTCCCGGATTGTGTAATGTATGTGATGTTACATGTGATGAATGCTGTGCCTGTATGCTGGCTGTGTAGTGGTAAAATTCACAAGTTATGGTTATATTGATGTAATACTTGAGCGGGAATTGAAAAGACTAAAATGAATGATTTTTCAGGATGACTAAGCTGCTCGATGATGAAATTGAAGAGGATGAGCTGTTTTGAAATCAAGATGCTCTTAAGGAGGTAGTAGATTATGCATTATTCAAAGCATTCTCATTTGAATTTGAATTCTGCTCTTTTATTTTGTGTATAAGAAAGTCTACCACTTAATCTTTCTTATGAATAGTTTAATTGAGTGTCTCCATTTGTATTTTCTTTGCATTCAGTTTTCTGTTGTGCTTTTGCAACTTTTTTCATTGGTAGATCATGATGATCTGGTTCTGAAAATGAAGCAACAAAAATGATATTGCTGTTAACAAGGGGACTGCTTATAATGAATGTGGTTCGAGTGCTTCTCTAGAAGAAGCTTTCCAGTAAAATTGTGCTATTACAGTATCTTTATTATCTGATTTGACTCACACTTGTTGGTGTTAGGAACCTGAGCTAGATGAAGGAGGAGAAAATGATGCAGAAGAAAGGTATAGCTCCTCTTTGCAGCAGTAAATGATCTTAAATTCTTTTAGAAGGTATAAATTCACTTGCTTTAACACATTGCTGTTGGAAATGTTCAGGGAAAATTAAGCTGGCTTATTGTGGGATCATATATTTCGATTATTTAATTGATTTCATTTAGGCATGGGCTGTAAACCAAGGGCATTGCTACCCTGAAGGCCACAAATCCTGGAATATTTCCTAGGTGTCTAGATGATTGCTTTTTCTTTTTTGTTGATGCCAAAAAATTCTTTGAATTTTCCTACTTGTTCACTAAGTTCTACACTAGGGGTTACCCTTGTAACCTAAAATCTTGATAGTCAAGTAACTTGTTTATTATCCCAAAAAAAGTTGCCTCATGAAACTAAGGGCTTATACCACTCAGTTCAATCCATGGGCTTACATTAAGGTATCTTGTATAGTTACATTATTGGGCCCTTGATTTCTTTAGTGTTTCTACGGTTAAGGTTCTAGTGCCACGTTTGTCTATCCACAATACCAGGAAGAGAGTACACAATGTTGTCACAGTTTGTAATTTGTGATCCTATAAGTTGAGATGAATATTTATCCAGTGTTTTATATCTTTTCTATCTTTAGCCAATAAAAAGGAAAAAGGAAGGAGAGGAGAAGAGGATGACCCAACGAGAGATGTTTCTGGAAGCAGCTCAGACAGGTTAGGCTATAGCAGTACATGGTATATAATATCAACTCATGAATTTCTGGAAAGTTATTAACATATATGAAGTAGTGTACCATTTCCTTGTATGAGCTCAACTTTAATAGTGTGAACTGTAATTTTGTAGAGATCATGAACTTGAGGAACTTAGAATGTAATTCAGCGAGGGAGAAGGAAGTTAAGAAGAGAGCAGTAGTGCACAAAGCTGTCTATAGTGGCCTACAGATATGATATTTGTCAAAGGATGGTAAACATTTTATACTTATTTATAAATTTCTTGCATAGGTTATTCATATCTGGAAATCAGTAAAGGCGCGTCCTTTCAGTCAGAGATTTCAACCACATCTATTCCTTGTAAGTTCACTATATCTACTGTGGCTGCAAGCTGATATTTTTTTGATAAAAATGCTGGTATGGCGTCCACTGAAATTGTGTAACTGTCAACATCTCCTGCAGAGCTTGTAACTGCCAATGACTCCATTTTTTTTTTCTAGTTATGCTTTTTATCTCAATTATTCAATTTTGTGGCCTTCTGGAGTTTCTATAAATATACAGGCCCCTGCATGAATTAATGATTCCCCTCCACAGGATTGCAGCCTTCCTAGGACGGGCTGTAGTGATATAATCATTATAGATTTTTAAGTGGATAGAAACTGCAATAGCATGTAAAGTGCCAATTTATTATTTAAAAAGAAACTATCTTGTAAAATCTGGCTTTATAATGTTCATCTAATTTTCCAGGCTCTCTTCATGTGCACTGAATTACTTCACCAAAAATTACATGTAAAAAATCCCATTCTCCAATAACCTTGTTTTTCTTCATGGGAACCAAATGCATAGATTTCTGAAGTACTACCGTTAAAGTTCCATGATCAACACATTAGTTTGCAAAAGAAGAGCTTGGATTGGCTCACCTCAGTCACCGGAAGTTTTTTATTTTCCAATATGGTTTTGTGAAATGTATTTACCTATAATTTGTATTTCATAGGCTTGGTGTTCTTTGGTGCAGTGATGATTTACTTGAACGTTTAGTATGTGCATGCTCTTGATTTTGTTTTTTGATATGTCTTTCCAGATCCAGGGAAGGCTGTCTGTGCGGTGACCGAATTGCCT